GGCAGCGAGCTAGAGAGTCCTTGGGAAAACAATTCCATGAGCCGGGAGCTCTTAGCATGAAGCCGGCGCGCCAAGAGCGGCTCCTTGGAGCCCCAGAAAGGGAGTCCCCACCTCCTCCGCAAGGCCCCCCAGGACAGCAGCCTCACCGCCATCCTGCATCAGCACCAGGGCCGCCCCAGGTCCTCCTCCACCACCGACACTGCCATCCTGCTGGCTGAGAGCGGGGCCGTCTACCTGCTCACCGAGGACACCGAGTGCCTGGCCGACAAGGTGGGGCTGTTGACAAAGGGGTTTGGGGCCACCAGGCCATCTGGGGAGGGAGCTGGGCTGAGTGCACCTCAAAATGCTCTCAGGAGGAGACTGTCCCTTGGGGCAGCGGATGTGCAGGCAAATGGCACCCTGGAGGGGAGGTGAAGGCAGGGACATGCCCCTCTACAGTGCCCGGAGTGGGATTTGAGGGAGAGTGAAAGGGGCTTGGGAAGAGCTGTGTGACAGTGGGGTGGGATTGCAGGGGGTCCTGGGCACCTGCAAGGGCAGGGCCAGCAGCTGCACGTTGGTCCTGTCCAAAGTGATTCTCAAGCGGCTCATGTGGAGCTGACAGGCTGGTCTGTCCATCCTGTGTTTAGCCCCATTAGGGATGAATCAGCTGAGATGAGAACAGCACAGAGCTGCTCTGGGTGCTAGTGGGATTGTCCGTGTCAACTTCTCTGCTCCCCCTTTGGATCTCGGGTGGGTGTCACACTCTAAAACCCCTCTCTGCAGCCCTGAGATGCAACCTCTTTTTTAACTTTTCCCCAATTTACCTGAAAGCAGAAGCAGGTGTTACCCCACCCAGCAGCTCTTCTCTCCTTGGCACCAAGTCTCCAAGAGGGAAATCTGACCAGGGCACTTCTGTTGCCCTCTGAGCTAATGGAAAGAGGATCAACCAGATACTTTTTCTTTCTGTTTTCACTTGGCAGTTTCAGCACTGAGCTGCAGCTGACACAGCTTGCAGTGGGTGCCAGTGTCCATGCAATAGCCATGTGGGGACAAGACTACCACCATGCCTGGGAATTCTGGTCCCAGAGGATATATCCCATTCTTATATTTACAAGAAACAGTTGCCCAGGTCCCCTAGTCCCCCCTTTACAGTGTGCAAATCAGGGCACCCCAACTCTCCCCTGGCAGTTCCTGCCCTGGACCGAGTGCTCAAGCAGGGCCAGGAGCCATTCAAGTTGTTAATTTGAGCATCTGCAGCCAAAATTTCTTGCACCTTGTAAGAAAGGCCTTGGCCTTGCACAGAGCCTGGTCCTGCTGAGCCCTGGGGGGTTGTGTCTGAAACCTGGAGCCAAAGTAGCTCACACTGGGACAGAAGCACCTGGAGAGAGATGAGAGCAGAGCAGGCCCATGTCTGCTTGTGAAGCAGCACAAAGAGCATGAAAAGGGGATGAATAATTAACCACATATGACACAAAGAGTAATAAGAAGAGAGACGATACTGGGTCCTTTGTGGGGCAGTGGAAAAAATAACCTATTTAGAGAAACAAGAGCTATGTGATATTCTCGTGCCGTATTATTTTTCCAGAGCCCTCAGGAGATGCAGCCTCCTCCTGCCCTCCTGGTGCTGCCATGCCCAGGGCTTTAAAACACCCAGACAGCTCTGCCCAACCCCACCCCCTGGGTTTGCACCAGGGCTTTGGGCCAGCCAGGGCCTCATATCACCCCTGCCCTGTTCCACTGGGGTCAGACACCTCTGCCTCCTCCCCGATTCACCCCAAAAACGTTTGGAAGCTGCTGCCCCAGGGGTGCCCAGGGCCCCTGTGAAAAAGCCATTTCCCCCCCACCCAGAAATGTCATGCTGAATTTTCCACCCGTTTTGTAAGGACCTGAGCACGTGCTGGAGTAATCCCTGATGGGATCACTCAGCCTCAGCAAGTGATTGCTGAACAGCTGTTGATCTGCTGTCCTCACCAGTGCTGGGCCACCCTGAGCCCTGCTGGGGCTGGGCACAATCCCCTCATCCTGTGCACCCTTCAAGTCCCCCCAGGAGGCAGCTCCTCTCATGGGCAGCACCACCAAGCAGTAACCCCCAGCTGAGGTGGGGGTCTGTCACCAGCACCACACATCCTGCAGGGACCAAGCTGGGGATCAAGGCTTGGCTTCACAGGGTGATGCCCACCTGGAGCACACGTGTTTGTGCCCCCTCACACCCCCAACGCCTTCCCTGCTGCCCTCTGCCTACCTCCTACATGTGAAGACCAGCTCTGGTGAGGGTGAGATGACAGCCAGGTGGCCTGATGTCCCCTGGCTCCCACTGGCAGGTACACACAGCTTGGAAGGGATGTTTTTGCTGGTTGACTCTGCCCCAAGAGCCTCAGCTGTGCCGTGTGCCCTGTGGGGCACGTGCTCCCTGCTCTGCCACAGCACAGATCTCTGGTGAGCCCGTGGGATGGGCAGGGGGGGTGGCTTCTGGGGGGCTACAGGTACCAGGAGCACCACTGGATTTCAAACAGCCCCTCTCCCATGCATCTCATCGTGCCTGGCTTCCGTGCTTGGCCAAAGCAAGGGGGTGTATTTGGGGTTGGGGTCAGTGTATTTGGGATGTGTGCTGGTGTCTGTACATTCAGGGCACGTGTTGGTGTTTTGGGGGCATTTGTTGGTGCTGGTGTGTCCAGGGGAGCCCACGGCCAGTGTTGGTTTCCCACGAGGACACACCAGCTTGTGGAGGTGGTGGCACGTGTGACAGCAGTGGTGTGGCTGGGAGAGGCTGCAGGCAGGGCCCAGGGGTGGCAGTGGGAAGGCAGCAGAGCTTTCTTACCTCACTGATCTCCTCCTGGTGACCTGCCAGCGCCGGCATTACCGGCAGGGCCGGCT